ATGTTTTGGCACATGTTGCACATGGCAAATCACATGTAGGAAAAGGAGGGATGAATGGGATTATAAAGTCACAATGGTTTGCTCCAGGCATCACACTAGCTACACAGACCCTTGTAGACAGATGCATGATATGCCAGCAGACAAGAAGAAGAAAAGGTCCAGTTCAGCATGAACATTTACCGCCCCCCTCGGGGCCCTTTGTAAATATGCAAATTGACTTTTCGCACATGCCACCATGCCAAGGATTCAAATATCTTTTGGTAATAGTGTGCCAGTTCTCCAAATGGGTAGAGGCCTACCCTACCAGAAAAGAAGACGCCAGAACAGTTGTAAAGTGTCTTCTCAAAGATGTTGTCCCTAGATTTGGTGTTCCAGCAGGGATTAACAGTGACAGAGGTCCAGCATTCATTTCTAAGATAACCCAGAGTCTAGCTACAGTGTTAGGATTCAAATGGCAATTGCATGTTCCCTATCATCCACAGAGCTCAGGCCAGGTTGAGAGAATGAACTTGACTATAAAGGAAAAACTCACTAAAACAATGTTGACCACAGGACTAAAATGGGTAGACGCGCTGCCGCTAGTTCTGTGCTCAATCAGAAACTCACCAAATGCAACGACAGGGCTCAGCCCACACGCAGTATTGATGGGAAGGCCAATGTTCACAGGATCTAGTCCTCCAGTAATGCCCCACAGACTCACTCTTTTGTGGACAGAGGATTACATGACTAACTATGTCAAATATCTAACTGACATGTTGAGAAAGTTTCACAGGCAGGTGGCTGACAGGCTCCCCCAGCCTGGTGAGGAGCCCACCCACCCTTTTCAGATTGGTGATAATGTACTAATCAAATCGCTTGAAAAAGATTCTTTGTCTCCCAGGTGGAAAGGTCCTTTCCAGGTATTAATAGTGACCAGAACAGCCCTGAGAGTACAAGGTAGAGCGGAGTGGATTCACGCTTCAAGATGTCGTCTCTCTCCTCTACCGGATGCTGGCGTGTGAAGGCAGTCACCATCATCGTCATTCTGGGTTTACTGTACCTGGCCAAGAACGCCCTGCTAGATGAAGCTGTGACAATCCCAACGACAGGTGGCGAGGGACCTCGCCCGTCTGAGGGAGAAAATAAGGTGCTCTTATCTAAGAGCGCAGACGACTTGACCACTCAGGGTCCAGACCCTGAGGGCAAAACAACACCAACGGGCAAAGAAGTGCCTAGCGACAAGGACAGGTTGTATCCAAACACCACACAGACACTCAGTATGGTGCAAGAGACACAAAGAGAGAGAAAAGGAGGGAGAATAAGGAGGATTGTCTCCCTCCCTGATCATAAGTCAGAGACTATTGCCGTTAACTGCCCAAGTTCAATATGTGACTCATCTAACTGTATTATTGTGTTTCCTGTGTTCTCAGTTTACTCAACGTGGGAGTTATATCCAGAAAACCAGTACTCTTGGTTCAGGGTCGCACCAGAGGGGGTAAGGATAGTTCTTAACACCATCGAAGAAATGCCCCCAGAACTGTGGTGTAGCACGATAGAACAGTTCGAGGCACTGATAAGGAAGGAGGTAAAATGTACAGTGCGGAAGCCAGATTACCGCATTCCCAATCTAGGTGATACTGCATGCACAGTTACTGGACCAAATAGCAAAACAAATGTTCCATCTACTCCACTTAAACAATCAGGAGGCGAGGTAGATTCTTCAAAAAAGGCCTTAATTACTCCTTATAAACAAACTAAAACTAATTCTGCAGTAAGTTTAATGTTAGACTATGCACATGAACGTAATGTTAGCAACTGTTGGTTGTGCCAAAATATGCCAGAATCAATGCATTCTCCTATGTTTAGCCCAATTCCTTTCACAAAAGCTGATTACGGTTTAGTAAACTGGAATGACATAGCATCTAGAATTAGCGATGAGGCTGGGGATTGTTACACTCCTTCCTACCCAATAGACTCTGAAAAACCTTTACAGTACAAGGGCTTAGTCTCTCTCATTGTTGATACAGTAAATAAAGATTACCTGCCTGACGGTTTCAAACGTTTGATGTTTTTAAAATTAATATATATGAAGAAATACGTCAACCTAGCTTTTGAATATAGATTCCAGTTAGCTCTAGCTCAGACTAATTGTTCAGCTAACTTTACAAGTCCAACATGTACAATGCAACCACACACACCCGCTTTGTTAGTGGAAGCGTTGGTAACAGTGGTGCCCTGGTTCGGCTCTAGGACAGTGGACTCCGTTGAGGTTAAAACACATGACTGTACGCAGCCAATACCCTTAGGCAAGCCCCCTACACGTGACTGCTCAGTATATGTTCCCCCAATTGTTGTACATGAATGGAAGAATGTGTCCATCTGTTTCCAGAATGCAGTAGGATCTCACACCTCTCCTGATGTGGGACACAGCGACTGTAATGCCATAGTGAGAGTACATATAGCCAGAATTCCCCTCCCACAGAGAGTTTACTTAGTTTGTGGGGGTCGCGCGTACGGCTGTGTGCCATATGATGTTTTTTATGGTACCTGTTATCTAGCCTACCTAATCCCTTTAATCCGTAAAGTAGAGGCTACTGAGATTGCAGCAATACTTCCCTCTCTACACAGGAACAGCAGGTCAATTACACAAGGACAACAGATAGCTAGCCTATTCTTGCCTTGGTACGGTATTTATGTTACTCAGCAGGAAATTGTCGCATTGTCTAAAGTGGTAGAATATCATTTAAATGTATCCAACACAGCGATGTTAGCTGAACACAAAGAATTGCAGGAAGTTAGGACAGTAGCACTACAGAATCGTATGGCGCTTGACCTCCTCTTAGCGGCCCAAGGAGGAACATGCAAGGTGATAGGAAGTGAGTGCTGTTCTTTCATATCTGATGCCACACCTGAAGTTATGGACATGGCTCATGATACTGCCAGGGGAATAAAAGAATTGCATGAAACTCATGGGTTTACATTTGGGGAATTAAGTGGAACTTTTGGATCTTGGGGAGCGGGGCTGGTTAAATTTGTTGTTACTGTTTCAGTGTTTATCTTGGTTGTGCTAATCCTAGTGATCTGTTTGATCACTGTAGTTAAATTAGCCATACGAAGGGTTGCCAAGACCGCCCTCCAGGCCCCACAAAGGCTAGTTGGACATTCAACTGTACAGGACACAATATTAATGTACAATGCCGAGCTTCCGGACCCCTGGGTCTCCATCGTGATCTCCGACCCGTGGGTACCTCCATTCAACGATTGAGATGTTGTTTAAAGTTGATATTCTGAATAAAGAACAGATGTTTTGATAATTGATTACAGTTGATACACTGGATTAAAGGACAAATGTCTGATTTTTCCTTTGCAGGTTGTGATACAAATAAAATGTCTGATTTTCCTTTTCAGATTTTGAACAAGTGTATTTGAATGAAATAAATGTATTACTAAGTGCCTTACTCTTGAATAAAGCGTAATGAAGTAAACGTAAAGTAATGTTAAAGATTGACACTGTAACTTTACAGTTTACAGATTGATCGATTCATCACTGTGAATTTATACCTTAAACTAGGGACCTTAGCTGGATCTCTCATGATTCTGATTTATACCTCATTTGATTTCTTATAATCCTAAATTCTAATTGTGTTTTTTAATAAGTAATTGCCTTAAAGTAAATCTTTAAGATGTAAGCTGATTTAGAATCTGTGTTTGATGAATGAGATTAACTGAGTGATAAATGATAAAAGATCTTATTTTTGAAACATATATTTTGCTATAATATTTTGTATCCCATGTGTTTATTATTGTACCTTTTGACAAAAATGCCAAGCACTGAAGAGAGATGATTTTTATTATGATTGACTGTGTTCAATCATGGTGATTGAAGTGTTTTTCAATCTTGTTCTATTTTTAATGTAATGAATGTATCTGAGCCCACCCAACTCTGAGGACGCCTATTGATTTTAAGTATTGACTGAAATATTCTTAGACTAATGTTAATTGGTTATCAATAGATTGATAAAAAGAGTGAATCTGTAAGAGAATATTTTCATCTGATCTGTTTATAGAGTCTTTTATGGTTCCTTAGAGTCTGTGATACTGCAAACATCTGCTTGTAGTCAGTCAGAGACTTCTCTGTAGGTTGAGGTCACAGGTCAAACGCTTCTCCGATATCCGTGGGGGGGTTTGAGATCTGGCAGCATCTCTTTGAGACAAGCAGATCATTGTCTTGCATCGGTTATTGATTATACGCGGGCTTTCTGGAAGCCCGCCTCTCCTCGTGTTGGTTAGATGTTTTGTGTCTTTTGGTTCAGAGATTACCTTGGTGGAGCACTGGGCATGTGTGAAACTTAGATGATCTCCCCGGCCGTATGTAATTAATGTACTGTGATCAATAAACTCTTCAGTGCTTTTGGCTAACAACGGTTCCAGACTCCTTCATTCTACCTCAACATTGCAACAACAGAAGTTTACCTTCACAATAGATGTAAAGCTTATATTGTGATATATATTAAAAAAATAAACGTCAACATATTTGCCTCGGCTGTCTATAGTTGTTAGTTAGTTGGGCCCTCAATTCTTCTCCACTACAGGCTTACAATCAAGGGTTTCATCAAAATAATTACCTCTTCCATGTGAAAAAGTGCAGGCCACCGCTCCAAGAGGCCTTCAATGCTTGGCCTCCGATGCACTATTTCTTGTCTTCAGTATCCAAACGCCTTCGCCATCTTTTCTTTTATTGATTGCCGGTTGTTTCTTTTCTGTTGTTCAGCCAAAAGGGAAATTGTCTCTTGCTCCATGCTTTCTGGAGTCTCACCGAGGCGGTGCTAGGCGAGACTTCTTTGCTGGCTGGGTTGATCGTGATGGCTGTGGTGGAGGCCTTTGTCCCGAGGTGTATCTTAATCTTGTGGCAGATGGAGATGGAGGCCACTGTAGTGATGATGGTCCTCTGGTCCTTTGCGGTGAAGGCCCTTGAGCCACGGTAGATCTTGACCTGGGGGCAGGGACAGATGGAAGTTCTTGCTGCTAGGCCCAGGCAGCTGTGAAATCTGAAAAAAATATAGGACAATAATTACTACTAAGTTTGTTAAAATAAAGTTCAAGTGGAATGTTTCTCAAGCACAAATAACAATGCACAACTCAAAATAAAATTATCTCTCTCTCTCTGGAGGAGGAGGAGGAGGAGGAGGAGGAGGAGGAGGAGGAGGAGGGTGTGAGAGATAGAAAGAGAGACGTTGTTAGTATTTGGTGCTAGCTCGGAGCTAACGGAGATTAGAAGCCGTTTCAACAATAAGGAGAGGGAGAGCTCTCTCCTGTGGGACTGAGAGAGATAACGTCAGCTCAGGGAGGTTTGGTCATCATTTCCATCTATGTAATATTAGTTGTATATAAAATGAGTTAATAAATCATTCCACTGTGTGCAATAGGTCAGTACAAAATAAAAAACACAATTTGAAAGGGGAGTGATTAGTAAAATATGCATAAATAAAAAGAAAGAATGCAGACTAGGTAAGATAAAGATAGGAGAGAGGAGTTGATCAAATATGTGTTATTGCTTGTGAGCAAGCAGGATTTTTGTTGATTGAAATATATACTAGTACCCCCCCTAGAGGATGTGAGGTCATCACAAATAAAACAGGTTCACATGGATAGGATACTAGATAAGTGTGCACACTCATTATATACACTACACATTTTTCTTGGATTTATTAACACTATAGTCCCTAATATATTTGTAGAAAGGCAGGAAATGGAATTAAATTGAGAAAATGTTTCATTGCCCCCTGTTTTGTGTCCCCCCCACTTCGCAAACCAAAGTTACACCCTTACACCCACACAATGCAAGTACACTATTACTGTAATATTTACATTTACCTATCTTCAAATGGATCCTTGTTGCTGTATTCTTCTTCTTCAGGAGAGTAGAAGCCTCCAGGTTCTGATGCTCCATCTCCACTGCTGCTAGTGTTACAAGTCCGCTGTGCAGAGCTGGTAATCAGATAATAAGCCTGTTGATCAGGAGAAAAGAATGAAGCAGAGGGAAAGTTGCTGCCGTTTGTGTGGTCGTTCTAGCCAGAATGTATTAAACAAATTAATAAATTCACTTACAAATTATATCTGTTTTCTCTATTTATCATTCTTTGTGTAACCGGTCTGGATTGACGCCACATGTATCTCTGCGTTGTGTCGAATGAAAACGACTTCCTTCTTGTCAACCAGGTTTATTATCTGTGCAAACAGAATATAATGACAGCAGGAAATGGCTTCACCAGCTTTCTACCTCAATACTTCGCCCCAGTGAGGCCTGAAGCTAACTGAGAATGTAAACATACATTTAGCAAATCAAAATAACCGTATGACATATGTGTCTCTAATAAAAAATGGACATAAATCCACATGCCATATTATGACTTTGATGAAGGATTAAAGCCTTTTTCATTTACAGTATATAATACAGTGATTACAGATAACACACACAACCCGGTCGACTGTACTCACTTTAACATTGCTATGTTGTACAGGCACACTATTAGCATAGCATTAGCGCTTTAGCATTTAAATAATATGAACAATTATGACCTCAGACCAGCATTTCACATATTTATACAAACAGAATAAACTTGAAATGTAAGCCAAACTAGTGCAAGGGAGTCATACACATGGTAACATGGTAGAGCCCTACATTATTCAGGGAGCAACAGCCTGCGCTAAAGAAGCTAGCGGACGCCATTAGCCACACGCTAGTGGCGTAGCTCACAGAATGACATTAAACTACACATAAAACAGTTTCAAACACACTTCTTTGATCGAAATATGACATAATCTGTGTCCACACTACTAACCTGTTGAACAGGAGAAATGAATGAAGCAGACCGTTGCTGCCATGTCGTTCCATGGATGTATAATTAATAATAATTCCTTACATTTATTATAGCGCTTTATCAATGACTCAAAGCGCTTTACATATACACACACATTACACATATATGATACATGCAATGGTCAGATACTGTGGACAATACCCACAGGAGCAAGTTCAGGTGAAGTGTCTTGCCCAAGGACACACCGGCTTTACAGACGCAGCAGCGGCGGGTTTCACCCCTTGATCTGATGATCATTGCACAGCGCACTGCGCCACACCGTCCATCTTCACGCCTCGAAGACATCGAGGCGCTTTTACAAGTACACATTGATATCATACATGTACTGTGGACATTACCCACAGGAGCAAATCCGGGTGAAGTGTCTTGCCCAAGGACACAACGGCTTGACACAGTGGCGGCAGGAGCGGGTTTCGAACTGGAGTTCCCCAGCACTCCCCCTTGATCTGATGATCGGATGCACAGACCACTGCGCCACCCGTCCCTGATAATCGTTCTTCTTCTTCTCTCGGTTTTTTGGCGGATTGCAAACAACTTTAAGGTGCATACCGCCCCCTACTGTACAAGAGCGTGTATCAACATATCATCCTGTCAGCACTTGTGGAATTATACCACTGTGTTTACGTTGTTTTCAATTCTTCCAATCAATCCTTTTTCACTCAAATACTTAAGAATGGCCTTCCTGGTAGCTCTTACCCCCTCACCTTCTGTTCCCAGTATCCCCATCAGGCTCCACTCTCCCTGTCTCTTAGTTTTTCCCTCTCTGTTTTGTACATGTTGCAGTGTAATATGATATGTTCCACTTTTTTTTTAACTCCACAGTTCCTACGACATAGAGTAACATTCAATGCTGTGTGATCCAGTCTGAGTCTAGCTATCATGATTTCCTAGATTAAGTTATATGAGTAATTCTTCTCTGACAGTTGTTGTTGACTGTATACTTTTTAAATGGATAATGAATCTGTGCATATCACCACCCTATCTGGTCTGACCTCTTCAACCCACTGTAATCCTATTATTACAGCCAGCATTTCTGTTGCACACTGATAATTGATCTGACGCTCTTTTTGAAATTGATATTTTAAAGTCTGGGATATATATATACCAACTCCAACACACTCTTCCTTGTTCTTAGAACCATCGGGCGGTGGTGGCGAAGTCCATAGGGGCTTGGCAACTGGAAGGTCACCAGTTAGTCCCGGAAAGACCAAGTGCTACCGAGTTGTCCCTGAGCAAAGCACCGTTCCCTACACTGCTCCCCGGGTGCCGTACATAATGGCAGCCCACTGCTCCTAACACTAGGATGGGTCAAATGCAGAGAAACCGTTTCGTTACACGGTACCTGTACTGTGTAATGACAATAAGTTGAATCTATCTATCTGTGTTGGCTATATTTTGAGGTAATTGTTGATTGCACCTATACACAACCGTAATGCTTTATATTGTAATCTATCCATTTGTAGTAATGACGTTTTTGCTGCTGCTGCATATATATTATACACCCGTAATCCAGAGTTGTCCTCATAATTGCCCTATAGATGTCAATTAGTGCCTGTTTGTCTGCCCCCAGTCTCATCCAGCCACTGCTCTTAATAGGTTCAAAACTTTTTGGGATTTTGTTTCCAAATGTTTAATATGGTTTTTCCATGTACATTTACTATCTAACCATAGCCCCAGATATTTAAATGCATTGACCTCATTCATCGGCTTTCCATATGATGTAAGCTTCTCAGTCTCCATCTTGCGTTTATTTGTAAATGTCATGAAGCAAGATGTGCTTGCTGACAGTTTGAAACCCCAGTTGTATGACCACTTCTGGAACATTTCTTCCCCTTATCCATATGTCCCCGTCATCTGCATACAACGCAGATTTGATGCATCCGTCCAACTTAGTCAATATGTCATTTATCATAATGTTAAATAATATCAGGCTGATTGAACTCCCTTGGGGAATACCATTTTCTATATTGAAGTCTTTCGAAACCTCTGCCCCTACTTGAACTCTGAATTTCCTGTCTGAGCCAAGATCCTGTTACTGTCACTGTTACTGTCACCTGTCACTTAATTTGATGAGTAACCCATCCCTCCACATAGAGTCATAAGCCTTATCAATGTCAAAATATACTATTGCCATAACCTCTTTCATTTTCAGTGTCTTCACACTGTATTCCCACCTCATTGATCACTCTAACCAAAGCATTGTGGATCTTCCTTTGCGAAAACCAGTCTGGAAATTACTCAGCAACCCTCTTTGTTCTAAGACATGTCTATGTCATCTTCTCCATCCATTTACACAAGTGTGATGTTAATGCTATGTCTGTAGTTACTGAATACCTTGTTTTGTTCTTTAATAGCTCTGCTACATTCCTCATTCCACCACGGCACCACTTTCTTCCTATACCCTCTGTTGTTCTTTTTGGTATAATTATATTTGCTGCTTCTTTAATGTGCATTGTGATTTGATTTGAGCACTCCTCTATACTTCCTTCTAATGCTAACAATTGTGCTGACTCCTTACAGCGAATTCTACATTTCTCCCAGTCTGCTTTACCAAAGCACCACCTGGAAAATATACTCACTTCCTATTTGTGTTGATGATAGAGAATACTGGGTAATGATCACTTCCTATGGTATAGTCACGTTTACATTCCATTCACACGATTTAACTAAACTATCCGTCACAAGTGTGAGGTCCAAACATGATTGTGTCCCCCTATTCACGTCTATTCTTGTTTTTTGTCCATCATTAAGGCAAAACAATGATCTTTCCTCTAACATCACCATTACTGTCTGTTTGACTGCTTCCGCATAGGCTGTTGTGAGCATTAAAATCACCACACCATACTTCCCTTCTATGACTCGTCCCTGCTATTGTCTGTAAAGTTTCAATGTGAAGATTTTTACACGGGTTATAGAAATGTACAAGCTTTATGCTTCCTTCTTTCATTGGGCTGCACATTTCTACTATGACACATTCCTTGTCTTCAGGGGATGGAACTATGCTATTGGGTAGTAAATGTGTTTAGGTTAGGTAATTAATCTGGTACTGAGAGTTATTACAAAGCACTGTTCCTAAAGGCTAAATATAATTAATTGTTTACTTTTTTCGTTGTCTACTAAACCGGAAGCTAAAGAAATGGGCGGGGCAGGGCAGGGCCGGCCCTGACCAATTTGCCGCCCTAGGCAATATTTTAGCTGGCCTGCACCTTGTCGTGGTGAGTGGGCTTTCAACCAAGCCAGGCCACACCGTTGAAAAGTACTGATCTAATAACAGATTTGTTCTTGAATCAACTTTTTCATGTAATTTTATTTCATTTTAAATAAAATGAAACATTCACAGTTAATGTAATTAGATTATACATTATTAATGCCATATATTTTTGCATACATTCACAGTACATATTTATTCAGTATGATAGTCTAACAGAAGTTACATCCATTTCTCACTTATTCTGACAATCTACTTAACCCAAAATAAAAGAACCCAATAAAAATAGTTGTTAAATAATAGAGAAGTCACGTTATAATATGAAGTCACGTTGTAATAACAATAACTAATCTAACTAACTAACTAATCTCTCTCGTTCAGATTAATATTGTCGGGTGTTCTTTTTCTGCTTTGCCAAAGACCACTGTGTCAAGTGTCCCATTTGGGATGCCGTATGTAGCAGACCATCTCGCACATGCGCAGTACAGATCGGGCAGGGGGTGCAGATCGGTAGTGACCATGGTAATCGTCGTAACCAGCAGTCTTCATCCGCCTCTATCCAGTCTTTGACACTTGGAAAACGAGCACATGTGATACTGGTAAGGATAAACTAATGTTTATATATATATATATATATATATATATATATATATATATATATATATAAATAAATATAATTTCACATACCGAAACGTTAACGCTTGTCTGAGTATATCTTCCGTTGACTCTGGCTGTGGGTCTTACCGGCTGTTGATAGCCCTTATAACCTAACGCTAGCATGCTTTATTCAGACATTAGCCTTTAGCCCGCTTGGATTTATGGGTGGCTAACGTTACTACAGTCCGGTAGCTCATTTAAGAAAATGTAACGTTATTTATGGGAAACGTTAGCCGACGTGTGTCTGGCCGTGACTGACTGAGTAGGCCGTAAAAGCTTGCGCTAATGTTTAGCATGCGCTAACGTTTATCTTGTGCTAATGTTTAGCATGCGCTAACGTTTATCTTGTGCTAATGTTTAGCATGCGCTAACGTTTAGCATGCTTTATTCAGACCACGCATTATCCAGTGAAGAACACTCAGCAGAGCATATATTTCTCAACACAACATTAACTGTAACGTTAAATGTTCTTAACCGAACTAGTGGACTGTAAAAACACTACCCACCCATGACTCCAATTCGACTACAGGCAGGGGC